ATTATAAGCTTATTCTACAAACTATAAAAAAAACTATAATTTAAAAATAAAACTATTAGTTGAACTAATAATTTCCTACTTTCTCTTATAGTTTTTGTCACATACAGTTATGCAATTGAGAATGCTGGGTACTATGTATGTTGATGTCCAATATTAAGTCTATTAAATCATGTAACGAGAAGATATGACTTAGAGCAGCTAGTTTAGGTGTAAAATTTCTCAAGACTGTCAAGCTGGGCACATCTGCAAGTAGATATAGCAGTAGTAAGCAGTAAGACACACTGTTGGTAAAATATGTATACACCTAAAACTCTCTGCGTGTCAATGTGTGTGCTCTTAATAACAAGTAACTAGGGCACACTAGGGCCCACTGAAACTATCTTGCGCTACCCCTCAGGGGGATTTACAACATAAAACACCCTGTGTCTTTGGACCCTCACAGCAAACAAGGAAAAGAATATTGAGTAAATAAATTGTATTTATGGTTGAAAATGTATCTTCCCAACACAGAACTATCTGTTAGATTAATGGGCTGCCATCCTCACCCAGTACCTCATGGTGTTCCCCAAGGATCAATTCTTGAGCTACTGTTATTTCTAACTTACAGAGATGATTAGTCAAACACATCCATTCGTATCTTTAAAGCAGCAGCACTCATTCGTTATTGCTGGTGGTAACACTGTCCCGGAGGCAGGATGACGTTGCTGCAAATACATGGTGGCCACCTTTCAGTCTCTACCCAGGTAGCCCTGGAGAATAGGTGGCTTCATTTTGAGCCAAAAACCCTTTTAGCACTGTTTACAAAGTTAGCACCACGAGCCATGCTGACACTGCAGATGGAGCTCTGTTAGCACCATCTGCAAACAGTTAACAATGCTAAAGGGGTTTTGTGGCTCAAAATTAAGCCACTTACCCACCAGGACGACCTGGGGGGGAGACTGGAGGGTGGTCACAATCTTTCCACAGCGACGCTGTTGGGTCGGGATGGCATTACTAGTGGTAATCGCCCAATGAGTGGTGCCCCTAACTAGCTCCCGTCAGACCCAGTTGGTGCACAGTGCAGATCGGCCAAAGCTAGCTAAGACAGGATTTATCCTTTTGCTCTGTGTCGATATGAGAAGAAGAGGAGGTCGCTAGGCTAATTTATACAATGTAAAATACCATAGGCTTATGCTAATAACATTAGCATGTTGTATTTGTGGGGAAAATGTGTCCAGCAAGAGACATGTGTTTGTCTGTGAATGCTGTGAGTTATAATGAAGCTAATTTGTGTACTTATGTTTGAAATTGTCTCTATTAAGCCATGTTTAATGTGTGTTTTGGGTGTGTTTTGAATCAACCATACTCCACAGCACCTCACAGAAACCTCCACCGCCAACTAGTGTTTCTGGAGGTGTGACTGTAGAGTGACAAAGACACACCACCGCACGTTATAAATGCCACGTGCCTAGACTACGTTGTAGGCTGTGCATAGAGCTGATACGCAAGTATAAATCTGCCTTAACCAGTAGAGACCAGAGGATGGGCTGAAGGCATTATGTTAACAAATATTAATGCGGCAAGCCGGCTTTCTGCCTCCTACCAAATTTGGTTTATGTGTAGTACAGTAAACTGAAGAATAGCAAAATTAACTTAGACTGAAATGCATTACTGGTCAACATTATTCTCAGCAGTTAACCGTTAACATCCCAAATTGAGAAATTTGAAGGAAATTTGAAGACATACATACAAAGTGGGCCATTTTACAATTGAAAAATAAACTTGTCCGTGCTCACTGGTGGACATACTATCTATTAGAGATACTGTACCAAACTACTGTACAACATTTGGCAGTTATCCATCAGGCTCTAAAAACTTCAGTGATCTTTCTTGTGAATGATAAATTCCCCCGGGGCTGAGCCTCCAAACATCTTATATTTTATGGGGCTCTTCTCTTTATATCAACATAATGTATGTTTTATTATTTAGCACTTACTTAATCTAAATATATCTTCGATACTGTGATTATTGTTTTATATTATATAGATGGAGAGATGATGAAATCCGTCTCTTTGCTCCCTCTGCACACACCATATCCCTTCATTTGTTGGATTTTAACCCGATAGTCGACCAATAGTTGTTTTAATTTTACACATCTGGCTCCAGAGGTCAGGACACAGGGTGGCTGTAAGATTTGCTGGTGTTGGATATGGACATGATTTGAATTCCCCTCACAACATGACAAAACAGAGCCACGCTGCTGCTGCTGCTGACTGCTGGTACCCATGGCAACCATGCACTGATTGGTCAGGTGGTCGTTGGCAGAGACAAAGAGAGTGAAAGAGAGACAGGGAGAGACAGCGAGAATAGGGACAGAAAGAAGGAGGGACAGAGACTAAAATAAAAGCGCAGGATGCAGACAGAGAGAGACCATCTCTCCCACCAGATGGTGTTGAGAGTCAAACTGTCTGCATCAACTGTCTGTCTGTGAGTCTGCGTAAACAAACAAGACTCAGATTGGGTTGGCTCAAAATTTATAATGCATGATAGAGAGGACGACAATTTTCAGTTCATGTGCAGCTACTGTTTTTGGACACCAAAGATTCGGCATGTCATGTGGACTGATGGAAGAAACCAGAGTAAAATGCAGCAAGCACATGAGCCAACAGTCAGCTGGAGCGAAACATCTTCACAGCCTTTAACACTAGCATTTATACATTTAAAAACATTTGTCATTTCTAGGAATGTCCCCCTGAAGGCCAAGATAAACACGTGTTTCTGCAATTGGTTATTGATTCTCTTCACTTTCACTCAGGGGGATACACCCGTTGGAAACACTACACACTGGACACAAAAGATACGGTGTTACACGCATTGGCACAAAATCAATTTCTATCAAATCGGCTGTGATGAAAAACTGTCTCTGTGACTTCTTTTGAATTCTGATAGAAATGAGAATGCAAACATTTGTCAAGAGTTTGTTAAAGGCTTACTTTGACATTTTGGGAAACAAAAGTTTGATGAGAAAACTGAAACCACTCATGTTTGTACAGTAGATATGACGCTACAGCCAGCACACAGGCGCAGTTTGCATAGGTTCAGGGGGCTCACTGGATCCTGGGGGCCGTAGCCAAAAGTGCACGTAGGGATTTCAATGTTATCTTTATTTTCTATAATACAGAACTAATAAGGGATGCAACAATTTATCGGCTGCACGTCTTGGCCAGTCACATTTACTTTGTTGACTGCCATCAGCCTATCAGCAAATAAGTTGACTTTCACCGATGGCAGTGGCTGATGCCTCTCCACTGTGACACATCAATTTTGCGCAGACTAAAAAGCAGGGCTCCAGACTAACAGCATCCTGTCATGACTGAGACAATAAAAATTGCATTTAGAGTTAACAAAGATCTTCCCCTCGGCGCCATCGGGACAAAAGGACGCGGTTGAAAGACTAATGTTTCCCTGATAAAGCTACATTGTGGGGCTAGTTAATGTTAGCGTAACAGATTGCTGACTGAGGGTGTGTTGAGTTAAATCATGATGCGTTCAGGCTCTCTTCAGTAAAAATTTGTATTGGCCGGAGGTAAATGTACAAGTTCTCATGATGTGTTCAAATGCAATCTTGTAAAATGTAGCGTTCGGTAAGAGACTTGAATTAATACGTTGTTTGTAGGAGAAATTTGTTAATCTTTCACAGCAATAAAAAATATATATAAGAGAGACAACTGACAATAAACAAACAAAGAAACTAAACAAAACCCAAACCATCGGTATCAGCCAAGAATTTCATAATCGGTGCATCCCTGCGACTACTCGTAAAGGATACAGGGATGTTGACAGTTACTGCAATTTATTAACATTAAAAAACATGCAATTAACAGGTAACAATTTAATTGCTTGGACGATTCTAACTTAAACATCGTCCATACAGTCAGAAACACAACTCTGATTAGTCGACATACTCAACCCAAAGCACCATGGATGGTTAGGGGACGGCTAACAACAATAATAACTGTTAACACTTGAAAATGGATAAATGATCACAAAAGACAGTGTCAGGATTATTATTATGGATAGATTTCAAAACGTCTCCAAAAGGACACATCAGTTCATGGCTGGATATCAAAATTTCTGAAAAGGATACGATCATAGCAGAGCCTTCGTTGGGAAGACACAACTGCTAATGTAATCCGCTAAGCAAAAAAATAGCAGGTACAGAGATATTTAAGGTTGGTAATGTTATGTTGTATTTGACATCATTAACCCCTACATAACTTTAATAGTGTCTAGTCTGTCAGATTTATGGTTTTTCTTGGTGGTTAGACAAATGAAAGCAGCTCAGTACGCAGTTTGTTTTTAAACAACGTAACATTAAAGTTAGACAACACATTTATTTTGCGGACAACTGTGTGAGGCATTCCACTTGCCAAAATACAGAGTTTATTTGCCCTCTACAAGCATTAATGTCGAGCTCTGAAGCTAATAGTTGGGATCTGTATCTGGTTCAGTGTCGGGTTTTGCGATGTCTATAGTAATTCTCTTAATATTTAATCACCTCACTGGACATATTAGTCAGGATATGAAAATGCACCTGCTGGTATCCTGGTTATCAATTTTCCTATAAGCCAAGCCTCTGTTGTACACGTTATAGTTCTTCTAGATTTTTTTTTTTGTGAACCCCAAAACTCAAAATGCACCTATGAGCCAGCAGTTGGTAAGCTTAACTTAGCATAAACACTGGAAACAGTTAGCCTGGCTCTGTCCAAAGGTACGAAATGATTAAATGTGGTGTAAAAGGTGGTTTTAAGTAGAATTTATTACCTTTGGACAAAGCCAGTCTCTCTCATTTCTCCTGTATCCAGTCCTTATGCTAAGCTAAATTAAGCTGTTGCTATCTTCAACATCATATATACTGTACAGACATAAGAGTGGTATTGATCTTTTACTCTAACTCTTGGCAAGAAACGCATCCCACGTATTTCCCAAAATGTCAAACAGTTTCTGTGAGATAGTCTTACCAAATTCTGTAGAAGCTGCCCCTTCTCGTCGTAGTGACGCTCCACGTAGTCTGTAGACAGCAGGTTGCTGCAGAGAAGAGGATGAAGAACAATAATCATCAAGTAGTATGAATTCAATCACTGTTTGAAAAAGCAAGACTGCAGCACTGTGTGACTATTAGCAGCCTTTATGGGTCATTATTCTGGAGTGCTGTTTAACAGAATCATATTCTGCATCAAACATTACAATTTGAATTTAGATCAACAAACGGCTGATTTATAAGTAAACCAAACGTGTGAAGATTCATTTAGTCTAAGTGCTCAGAGAGCCAGTGACTGGTATAACATAAATGCAGTTCATTAGAGCAGTATGTGCCGAGTGAGAAGAGGGGGAGGGGAGGTATACATTTAGCCTGCAGCCAGTCCGTACAATACCAACACACAGGACATACAGTACAATGTTGTAGGTGGGCAGGAGAGAACAATGAAGAAAGATGTGCCTGCGAGTATGGTCGTGTCAGTGACTGCTGTAAACAAAGCATTAAACATTGTTTTGTGTCTCTGTGGTGCGGGTGTGTGAATGCTTCGCAGGCCTGTGGTGACTTACTGGTTGAGTTCCAGATCAAGGATGAAGGATGTGCCGAAGGCCTCCACCAAGAAGCTGCTCTGGGCCAGATGGATGGGCTGAGGGAGGGACGGAGGGACGAGGAGTTGGGAGGGAAAAAGGGGACTGAGATTTACATTTGATACCATTTACTGTCATTTACTGAGATAATGATTTAAGCAACGACAAAAACTGCCTGAAATGCTGGGAAAGCCAGGTTTTCAACAACAAGGTGTCATGTCCTTGGAGGAACTTTTTTTTACCATAAGCTAAACAATCTAACGCCATTTGGATAAAACAAACTTAATGTTAGATCCTCTTTGTTTAACCAGAAACAGACCCGAAATTGCCATCGCCAAATTCACCAGACTCCATGGTTGTTTAAACAGTGGAGAGATGAACCAAGACATGTTTTGTAGTTTCATTTTGTTTCTGTTGACTTGAAATGAACCGTGGTTTACAGTGATAAAATTATTGGTTACTTAAATGAAGTTTGGTCAGTGTGGCGATGTTAATTTCAGGGCTGTTTCTGGTTGAACAAACAGAATCTTACTCTTTAACAAAAAGGTCTATCTCTGTAGGATCCTTTACATACTGTTGTCAGACACTTGGAACAACAATCTGAGCCTGTCAGTTGCAAAACAAGCACTTTTAGTGGATGTAAATTGACAGCGTGAAACCGCCCTGAGTGGTTAACGTTATGTTGCAGCCTCGCTCATTATTGGACCAAGTGTTTCCATTAGTCACTTAGGGTATTTTCACACTTGGTCCTTATCAGCCCTCTAAGTGCGCATACGTGAACACTCCAAGAAATCTCAGACCCCTCTAAGGCAAAGCGTACCAGTGATCCGCACCTCAAACCACCTCGGGATGCCACCTCCTGAAAACACTGCACATCTCCAGATGTGGAATGTAGAATATAAAACAAGACCAGTCTACAGCACAGACACGTCAGGTTTTCCTCCAATTTTAAGTTCATCCAAAAGCGAGGGGCTTCATAACCACACTGCTGTGGCACACTTAAGTAAAAACAAAACTAGATAAATGTATATTACATATGCAGGCTATAGTGTGAACAGAAGGAGGATTGAGGGCCCATTAGAGCTGAAGTTGACCAGAAAGTCCTCTTTTAAATGAACTGACAATGTGAACACAAAAAGAACTGAGTCCCTTTTCCGTTGGTCCACTTTAGCCCCATTTTCATCAAGCAGTCTGGTACGGTTCAGTTCAGTTCGCTTTTTTTTCTGTTTCCACTGTGAAAAGTTGTGGATGGTACCAATGGAACAGTTCCGCACCGTCCCCATTTTTGGCCCCCCCTCTGTTGGGGTACCTAGCACACAGATCTGGTACTAAAAGGTGGAGCTGTGAACACTGCAGTCTGTTGATTGGTCAATGGAGGGCGGTCACTCTGCTCAGGGCTGAGTTGTGGCTGGTTTTGAGGCTCATGTAACCACTGTTCATACTGTGGAGAGTTTTATTAGTAAACTGTAACTATAAAATGAAAGGATGTTTTGCTGCCTCTTGCAACAGCAGCTGGAGTTGGAGAAAAAATAACTTAATTCACTGGGTCGACTGCTGGTGACTTTTAAGGTGGAACGTTCACTCAATGCACGAGTTGACTATGTTTTTTTTTTTGTTTTTTTTTATACTTTATTAATCCCCCTGAGACGAAATTCAATTTTTTCACTCCTGCTGTCATTAACACACAGGTCCGAAAGACACACACATGCACAAACAGGACATATACATGCACAAAGTGGAGAGATGTCAGAGTGAGGGGGCTGCCCTTGGTCAGGCGCCCCGAGCGATTGGGGGGTTCGGTGCCTTGCTCAAGGGCACCTCGGAAGTGCCCAGGAGGTGAACTGGCACCTCTCCAGCCACCAGTCCACACTCCACATTTGGTCCGGACGGGGACTCAACAGGTGACCCTCCGGTTCCCAACCCAAGTCCCTATGGACTGAGCCACTGCCACCCCAATGATGAATCCATCAGCACACCTTAAATTTCACTTTAACTTTGACCATCACTTTAGTTTTTATATGACATACACTTTTAGTAATGATTGAATCTTCAAGCATTTATATATATTAATTTGACCAGATTATGTGAACTGTGTATATTCTAATCCTCACTGAGAGAGAAAAAAAAAAGCGTTGTGGACCCTTGTGTGGGTTCCAGCAACGCTAAACCCCTGAGCTTGCCTGGGAAGGACTAAATGCACAAACTCTTTTAAACATCCCATGGAGAGAGACTCACTGCCGCCTGTTTTATTTTGTTCTGAAAATTTTGGCTTACAACCTCGTTCTGTGGACGATAAACAAGGTGCAGACTTCCATCTGTTTCACAGATAATGAGAAAATACAGTGACTGCTGGACGGAGCCGTGAGTGACAACAACCACCCCCCAGGCATTTAAGAGTATTGTTTGCAGTGGAAATGCTAGGGTTACTTTGGTTCTAAAGGTGTCATATTGAAAGTGTTTGGTGGAAAAGGGGTGTTTTGGTGCTCTTTAAGAAGACTGAGTTCAGTTTTTTTAAAAGGACTGCAGGTGAAAACACTCTTAGACACAAAAACATGGGAAACAAATGCTTTGTTTTCCTCATCATTATGAAAAGATGTGATGTTTTGTGGCCGTTTCCCTAAAACAACTTGCTTCAGATTAGTACGTCATGTGGAGTAGGGACACAACTTTAGTGTTTTATTAGCATTTATTCTTCTTAAGGGTTTCATGTTCATGAGATTTGTACGGCAGCACTCACTCCAATACTTTATCATGTCAATTTTAAGTTTGATCTATGAAGCCAATAATCACCACTTTGTCTCAGAGTGCTTTGCAAATCAGTGCACACCTCTTCTATCCACAGACCAGGGTAGGCAGAGGCAGCAGAAGTCAAACTACAATATGGGAAATATCCACATCTCTCAAAGTCAAGGTCATGCATTAATTTTTAAGCTTTGGTTCCTCACGACTCTGTCTGCAAACAGGGCAGGTAGTCAGTACATAACACTGACGTCTAAAGCTAACTTTTAGATCAATAAACCATGCATCTCTAACTCACATCCCTGCAGGGTGCTGGTCCCAGACACTGACTCAAACAAATGCAAAGTACAGCGTGTTTTAAGGGAAAAGAGAATGTAGAAATAAAGAGTGGAGAATGGAGGAAGACTGATGGATGTTCCATATGAAGTAATTTACAGTAAGTGTGTATGAAGACAAAGACATACAGTATGTAATAAAGGGCGGTCCTATTCCAGTAACCTCTCCCCAGAGGCGAGGCAGCCTCATCCATCCCTCAGGCTTTTAAGGATAAAACTGGGTGTTGGGGCTCATCAGCTGCGTCTAACCTTGCTTCAAGGTGAACCTCATCCACATTATAAGATGGAGCTCTGTGGTGTCCCATCAGTACTTACTGGCCAAGCTGCAGGGCAGGTCTCATTAGTATTGCCATGCCCTCTCTGCAAACCACTCAGTATCAATCTAAACCTCCACTGGGTCATATACTGAACAATAAAAAGCCTACAATGGTGCCTGTGAGTGGAGATAAGAAAGCTGCCTCAGAGCTCTGACTGTGGAGTGAATTTTTTATATTACTGTATTCTTTTATACTAACGTTAAATACCAAATATTCATTTTTGAGACCCCATACAGTATCTTAGCTCAAGACAGTGAATCATATAGTTGGTTGACACAAAATACGATGACAATTAAAAAATGAAAATCAGGTAAATTAGCTTAAATTTTTTTAAAGAAAAAAAAAATTGCTCTCTTCTCAAGAATGAGTATAACAAACTGATACGATACAAGCATTATGAAGGCCCTGGTCATTTATGATGGGCAATTGTCGTTATTTTGACATTTTAGCAACTAAAACATTGAAGGATTCATAAAAACAAAAGAGGCTGTTAAACCAAAAGTTGAACTGCTGCTTGTTTTGAGGAAGAGATTAGCCTTAAAGGAATACGTCACCCTCAAAATGACCATTTGTAAAACAATTAGTCATGCTGTGTTGCCTGGAATTTGTTATGGAAACTTTGTTTTTCTCACATGCCTTCACAGAAAATGGCTAAACAACAGCAAAACTATATCAAAACATCTGTTTACAAACTTGTTCAGTATAATCCAAGTCTCATTATCCTTATTATTATCTCATTATCTCATTATCCAACACATGCAGTTTCGCTAAAACCTTACGCTTTAAACTGAACTGAAAGTAACTTATGTATGCTCTCTTCACAGCCAGACTCCAATAATAAGGTTTTTAAGCAAAAATGCATGTGTCTGGGAACTCTCGAACATACGACTGGATAAATGAGACTTGGATTATACTGAACAAGTTGTGTGAGAGTTTGTAATCAGTTGTTTTGATATAGTTTTGCTGGTGTGAAACATGGTTCCAAATAAATCAATAAATTAACATGTTTGCCATTCACCATGGAGGCATGTGAGAAAAACAATTCAAGGTAACATGGCATGACTAATAACTAATTTACAAATTCTCATGTTGTGGATGAGGTTTTCCTTTATTCCTTGTTTACAGTAACAGCTTCCTAAATCAGGTAACTGAATCTCTCGATTGAAAGAAACACTCATAAACCTACATTTACTGATTTTTTTTGGCCTCTGAAAGTTAAGATAATGATCTCGTAAGCAGCTAGTTGCGATTTACACATCCAAAAGGTGTAGAGCAACATTAGCATTCTTTTGGAGTCATATCACGGGAAATTTGACAATGATACATCCACTATTCACTTGACTTTTAGCTCTAGTTTGGTCTCCACCAACCCCTGTGGTAAATATCTGGCCCTGCAGATGCTAAATGCTTCTCTTTGTTCACTGGCTAATCACTAACTTTGTCTGTCTGGAGTTTGGCGCTGGGCAGGTACTGTGCAATGGGTTTATCAGAGCCTTTTCACCTGAGGTAGTGTTGACGAAATATTTTCCGTCATTTACAAAAAAGACGGAAACTCTGAAGGCTGTCTGTCATTTTGACAGATTAGAACACGAAAGGCAATCTACGGTAACTTCAAGTAATTCACACCCATGTCCAGTTGGTGGTGTGTGCATATTAATAAGCTGTTGTCGAGCCTTGTCTTCGATCTCACATGCATGACCTTGTTGTCTAGTTGGCTTTCAGCAAAGAGGTTACCTGTGGTTATCTCTTTGCTTTGGCCATCACATTGGTAGGCTATACCTACATACCACTGCAAAATGTCTGAAGTTTCTTTTAAAAACCCAATAATTGTGATGCCACTGATAAAGGAGGTGAAAAGACAGGGCTGGTCAGTTCAATGTCTGCCCTGTTAGCATGAGATAACACAGCAGCAGCGGCTAGCATCCGAAACCGTGCCATCAAACAATCCCAACAAACTGACACCGACACAGAAAAGGCTTAAATCTGTTGTAAAATCCGTTAATAGCCGTTGGGTACATTAGCTGTGTGCTGCTAACAGTTAGCCTTGTCACTGTGGATGTACAGGTGGACTCTCACAAACAGTACCCGGGGTGGAGCTCACACTCCTGCAGCAGTCTCACGTTAAACAGTGCGAGAGCGCGGATCAATAAAGTACGATTTTACCTGTACTAAATACTAAAAAATTAGAGAAGTCTTGTTCAGCAACCACTCCACAGCCAAAGCACAGAACGTTTGGTGTTCAATACTGATGTTACTGAAGCCTTGGAGCCAAAAAAAATGGGAAAAGGATGGTCTGATGCAGTGGAGGATGATGGGCAAACAACAGTTATGAGCCAGCAACAGCTAAAATGAAAATGACGGTTAATATCAGATTGTGATGGAATTTTTACAACCCCTGCTTTCAAGATGACGGACATGAAAAGCCTAACGCAACCTTTGCTTTTCACTAACAACAGCTCCCTGCTGCTAGAAACGAGGTGACGAGAGCGGTAAGAGTGAACGAAACAGTAAAGTTGTGGGTCATGAAAGAAAAACTATAAGCAGAAAGGCGGTGAAACACTCAGTTGAGCTGAGGACAACTGCAGAAGTCGGTTAGATGAGTTTGTGTTTGATACTGTTAGCGGCACCTTTCACACTCCATCATTTGATATCTATTACTTATTTAAAAAATTTGACTATGGCAGCTTTAAGTCCAGGCCAGAAGTACCGGCTTGTTACTGGAAAAAACACCTACAATTTGAACATTAAGATTTTAAAAAAGCATCATGAACATAAAACAACCCTTTGTGTTTAGTCTGTGATGTTGACAGGTGACCTTAAAGCTCAGTTATATTTGGTGGAGAACAAGACAATCCATATACAGTAAATTTTTACACACTTGCCATGTCAAATTCACACTAAAGATTATGATTTTAAATGTGTGGTTTACAGCTCGTAGAGAGACTCTGAAGGCTGATTCTTCCTCACATCTAAATTCACACTGCATAGCATGGCAGCGCTCAGACTCCTCCATGGAAAACAACAAGCACACATTTTCCAGAGGGCTCCTACAGGCTCCGAACAGGGAGGTCATAAGACGGCATGCTGCCCACAGAGGGTAGCTGAAGGTCGGACCTGTGTCATATCCACTGACAGGCCTGCAGCTGACTGACAGACAGTGTTTATAGTGAAGGTAATGAGAGAGGACAGGTAGAGGTGTGAAATATAATCTAATGGACTAGAAAGCACTGGAGGAGGGGGAGGTGGGCTGAGTGTTCTCTGCCCCGTTATGGTGCGGGCAAGCTGGGCATCGTGTGAGGTGGGGGTCTAGGAGTGACAGTCACATGACCTCAAAAGAGGATAAACAGGGGTGAATAAGGTCCTGACAGAGAGCAGGTGAAGGTTAGAGTTAGAGCGGCATCAATTTCCTAGAGTTTTAGTATTTATGACAATGTTTCTCTCTGTGTTTACTGTTTTTAACTTGTTTATTTATTTATTATGAAATTTCTTCTTTCCCTTTGTAATCTCCCCAGATATTCTTTGTTTAATTTTAAGGCTGAAGGGTGGGGGAATGGTGTTGGAAAAACAGAGGCATGCTGTACAGTGCGGGGACATACAATATACAGTATATGTTGATATGTGGCTACAAGGGTGTAGGTTTCATTTGGGGGATACACATTGATGTTTGGGGGGTTCAGGTTCCTCCCCTTGGAAATTTCGAGTACCACTTAATTTCCTGCATTCTGAATCAGAATCAGAAATACTTTATTGATCCCCAAGGAGAAATTGTGATTCGTTACAGTCGCTCCGATGTAAAGAATAGAGAAATAGAAGTATGTAAATATAAAGAAATAAAATACAAAATAAAATAAAAAAATAAAATAAAATAATATAAAAAATAAAATATAATACAATACAAAAAATAAAATAAAATGTACATTAAAGTGAAAATAAAAATAGAATGTGCATTGTGCTACAGTGTTCAACACTTGTACTTAAGATATGAAAATATTAAAAACAGAATATATATCATCACTGTGCTGAGGCTGTATGTGTGAAATTTACCTACACTTTATTCGTGAATAAACAAGAATATGATAAAGTAAACATAAGACATGTATAGTTATGTGCATGATAAAGTCTTACACTGAAAATATTGCACAGTTGAATAATTTGGTGATTTGTTAAACATTCATTTGTTCTAGGGCTGCCACTAACGATTATTTTCATTGTCGACTAATCTGTCGATTATTTTTTCGATTAGTCGACTAATCATTTCATCGAAAAATGTGTTAAAATGTTGAAAAATGACGGTCTGTCTCGCCCAAACCCCAAAATTACGTCATCTAATGTCTTGTTTCATACTCACACCAAAGGGTTTTAGTTCACTGTCACAGGCGAGTGTGTAAAGCTGCCAATATTTGAATGTAAGAATTTTTTTTTTGGTACTTTTATAGTACTTTTCTATGAAAAATGACTCAAACCGATTAGTCGACTACTAAAATAGTCACTGATTATTTTAATAGTCGATTAGTCATTGATTAGTCGACTAATCGTAGCAGCCCTAATTTGTTCATTTTCTGCATCAGTTTAGGATAAAAATGTCTTTAAATAATGTCTGCAACTTTCATGTCTTTATATGTTCTAAATATTGAGGGGGATGTGTCCCCTGAACTCCCCCGAGGTCTATGCCTATGTGTGGCCAGCCTGTATCCTAAGCGAGTATCTTCAAAGGACATGTCAAAAGTTTAAAAAAAAAAAAAAAACCCTGCTGAAACCAATCTTGTAAAATCATAATTAAAACATGAATATTTAAAATGTAAATATTGTCTGTGCAGCATGAAGAGAAGAATGTGAAAAGAGAGGTGTATCTCAATGACATCATCCTCAAGTCATTCATGAAGGACACATTTTCTATAATCTACCCATTTTAACTCCTCCTTTGTTTAATACATTTTAAGTTTCACTTATGGGAGACTCCCTAGAGAGGGCGGTGGCTCTGTTAAAGGTTGAATGGTTGAATGCAGAAGTGTAGATTCAAGGGGGGAAGCAGGGGACACATGCCCTTAAATATTCAGAACATGTGCATTCTCCCACCTCCACATAAAAACATGAATTGATGCAGAAAAAGATCAAATTGGTGCAGAAAAATTCTGGTGGAGGACCCCCAATCGCCCCCCTGAATGCTGAGAGGAAACCTACACCCTTGGCTGAATGTGATCTCCTCATCATTATGTTGGAAGAACCCAGCCATTCTTCATGAAACATGAATGACACCCATTTACAAGGGAGACACAATCTGATCTCTGCTACTGTACAGAGTATGTAGGAGCAGATGGAATAAAGGGGAATAATGTGCAGGTGTGAAAACAAGTAACAGGTGCAGATTCAACTCACCTGCGCTCCAGCTGTGTAGTTTTTGACCCGAGTGTCCAGACGGCTGTGGATCAGCTCCTCCTCGGAGTGAATCTGTTGCAGGAGCCTCTTGGGCTGAACCAGCTCCTCTGCAGGCGGCAGCCTCCCCTCCAGACTCACCCGCTCCCTCAGACCTGCAGAGGATTGAGAGGAGCTTCAGTGCACAGGCAGCATGACATGCCAGAGAGCAAAGTGGAGAATGTTAATGTGATTATTGTGTCTTATTTCCGCAGGATTCAGCTGCTGGTGGGGAGCTGCGTGCTGGCGCCGATGCAACAATTACACGGTGTTGTTATTAGACAGGTTGAGTGGATGCGATAACTGACAGTAAACATGCTATTTATTTGTTCTAATCCTCGGTTTTCCTGTGATAAAGTAAGCAATCACATGAAAGGAAAGTCTTACCTGTCACGGCGCACCGTGCACACACTGCAGCGAACAGCAGGCATCTCACAGCGAGCATGATGCTCACATAGTCCCAGGGATTTCCTCGGTGCAGCGCCGTTAAATGAACTGATGGGAGTCGTGAGCGGAGCTGCAGCAGGACTGTTGTTGACACTGACGACAAACAAAACAGCGGGGTTCCTTTGAACGCGGCGCCCGCATCTCTCACCTGCCTCCCCGCCTGTCGCGAGTTAAAAGCCCCCTGACGAGGCTCCTGTGCTCGGCTCCAGCAGCATGGTGCGTGTCAGTGTCACGGAGTTCCGCGGCGCGCTCACACACACTCGTCTCTTGGCCTCACGATTAACTGGGCTTGATTGGAGCAATGAGGCTGCGCGGGGAGGACGTGGAAACAAGGAGCACGTGGGGCTTGACGGGCCCACCCACGCTCTTTGATCAGACCTGATAGGTCCAAAGCTCAGGTCCGGGGACCCAAGGGCGACCCCTGTGGTACCCCCAATAAACTATACCTCATAAAATACTGCGTTTCTGCCAAAATGAGGCAACATATGAATTATTCAATAAATTAAAAGTTTATAAAACATCTTTTTAATAATCACTGTATATAAGAAAACCTTATAAAAAATTTGGAAGAGTGCTCAGAATTTTGAGCCCAACTGTAGGTTAAACGTCTTCAACTCTTATTTCCTTTATCAGCTTTATCCTATGGAGTGATTTGGTCCGACATAAACATACAATTTTATGCAAAAGTTAGAAAAGTTTTGGATAATACAGTTGAGAGATTTCTGTATTTTTGTTTTTCTGTCTGCTCTTCTCGCTCGTTTGAGGTTGGGCATCTAGCTGAGACGTAGTTCTTAAAGAAACGAACATTTACAGTTACAGGGAGGCAAAGTCTCGCCCCTTCAAGTGGCACCCATGGGACCTTATTCTGAAAGAAAGGAAGTATGGTAGTCAACAGGGCTATTAAAGCACGTTTTTATATTAAGTAAAAAATTCTGCGCTGATATAGGCTCTGATGATATTTAGGTTTACACAACAGCTTCTGTATATTTTGAATAGTGTATGGTAGTGGACTATACTGAGGTTATGTTTATATAGACTTAATTTATGTGTTAGAATACAGGCACGTCTTATTTACGCTAGGTGTAGTGCCTTAAGGCAGTTTAGTGCGCATGACGAAAAGAGATCGTTGACAACGTCGTACGTAAAAGACGAGAGATTTGTGTTGTTTCAGATCGTAATACGTTTTTCATCATGTTATGCAGTGTTTAAGTGTAATAATGGGAATACGATTAGAATATAGAGAAATAGGACACTGAGTCAGTGCTGGACGTACTAGATGACAAAATTTTGGAAGGACTTGGCCTGCGGTTTTGCTTTTCTTTTTTTGGATTTTCAATAAACCTTGCAAAACTTTTTCCCAGCCTCATGTGAATACTGTGAATCTCCAGAAAAGGAACAGAAACACAAGTCAAAACCAAGACACCTTACAAACTAAGTGGCCTTGGAAAGGGCCAGAACAAACAGTAACGGAAGTAATTTTTTGACATCGTTTAAATTGTGCCATGAATTACACATGTATTTTTCAATTCAAAAGATAATTTTTCAAAGTCATAAAGTCACAGTTTGTTGTAGTACTATTTAGTTTTGTGAATTACATCGTTTGTCTCTCACATTACGTCACCAACATCAACATGGCTTTGTACAATGGCACATTTAACTTTGTTCTTCCAGAATAAATGGAAAATTATTAAAAGAGGGAAAAATCACAAGTCTGGCCACGCTGAGAGCTGCAGCTGTATAAGAGAGTTACTTGGTACACCCTGGTATGTAACACACAGGCACCACAGCTTCAGCAGGACTTAAAGTTATGATGTTACTTGCCGGACTTGAGTAGGAAGGTATCACATCAGGGACATGGGCCTGCATCTAAGTAAATTTGACAACAAAGTCTAGTTTGTCTAATTACTGTGAACACGGTGTACTGTTCCTGGGCATGGTTTCTCGATCCCTCAATCCCTGCCCCAGTCCACTTAAGCAGTTAGTCTCAAATACAGTTCATGTGTACTTAGGTACGGTTTTGCATGGAAGGCTATTTAACGTGAGTAAAGGTTGGCAAGTAGAGTTGCAAAGGCATTTCTCATTTCTTTGGTTTAAGATGTCGGGGAAACACGGCGAGACAAGAACGAAAGTCAAGGCGGCAAATGTCCGAGTGGGGCGGGAGTGGATGGGTCCAACAATCACAGACTTTTACCTGAGAGAGAGCAGTGTTTGCCTACTATAAGATTCTAAAGCCAAACCCTGTTCTTTTTTCCTGAACCTAACCATGTTTGTTGCCTAAACCCAACCAGTGCTCCCAGGGTACCTTTCACGTCGTCATACGAAGCATGTCAATATGCGACAAAAAGGTCGAAGTGAGAATGTGTTGATAGTAGGCATAGGCAAAGGTTGACTCCTTAGTTTGGGCTTGGGATCTTGCGATTGGCACTCTGAGTGGTGGGGAAGCGGGGGTAATCCTACTCGGTATGGTACAAGTCAGTCTTTCCTAATATGAAAAAACATACAAACTTTCAGTCTTAAGACAAAGTAACTTTCTTGACTTGAAAAATTATCTTTTAAATTTACAAACGTGTAATTTCATGGAACAATGCAAACAGGATCAAAAAATGATGTCTCTCGCTGTTAACCTCAGTACTCATTTTTTCTGAAGTAAGTCCCAGCAGGAGGGACTTACCCTCTGTATTTGACAACTACAGAGGAAAATTGTATAATATGATATAAAACTGGTGAACTTTTATGTTCACACAGCGTTAACAGAGAGCTGTTATTAACTTTAATGATCAAACATGACTTCACCTGTCACTTTCCCACACAAAATCTTGTTAATGGGAGTCTGTGGATAAAGTTACTATGACCAAAATATTTATTGTTATTTTGAGCTTTGTATCACTATCACAAGACACAAATCCCACATTTCTTTTCCCTTAGCAACAAAGTCTACATGGTAAAAACCTCTACATTAAAGAGCAGGATTGTTCTCCTGTCTTTGTGGAGAAGCTGAATCGGTTTTGGCCGGGCCCACCCATACAAAGGATCCCTTCATCCCAACAGTTCTGGAAAGTTAAGGGTTATGTAACAAGGCTTGGACATGAGATATCAAATATTGTTTGTGTCAGCTCGAAGCTGGGCTGATGAGCCAAACAGGACACATCGACCCACTGCTGCCCTTGCCTCATCCTTCCTTCCCCATTTGGCTCTCCTGTAGCCTACGAGCAGAGTCAGCATTTATTAAGACATCGGGAAAAATTATCCTCAGCATCTCACAACCCTTCTTAACTTTGCTTTGCCTGAGAAAAAGTGTTTCTGAAGTATGCCACAGGAGATGTTTATGGATAAAAACATTTATTTAAAAACACTGTACAAGAATTTACATCAGTTTCCTGAGAGAACTTCTAGTCTTCCACGTATTGAATTCATGTGTGGTTTTGTTCTGTTTTAAATGTCCATGCAAGATATTCAGAAGAAGGTGCGACTTTTGAACAACATGGGGTTTTTAGTTTTGTCTATTATGCTGATCAATGACGAGGCAGGTGAAGCGAGAATGCCGGGTGACCTTACACTTTAAAAACAGACAAGTGAAGATAATAAACTTCCCTGAAGCTGCAGCACACTACTGTGAAGCAGTCGTCTCTCCTTGACAAAGCCTGCCCATTGGCCAACCTTCAAAAGGCAGAAAAGGCCATTTGACGTTAATCAGACACATTTTAGTCTCACAGGTTGGGCGTGTCCTCCACTCTACGGACGCCTCACCAACACCGGTGCAAGTGGGATCTGATCCAGACGCACCACTCACGGTAATTGAGTAATGCCCCCTTCAGAAAAGCCTCATTAAAATCTCAATACCATCATGTGTTCCCGGACATAGCTGCTGAAAGAGTGGAGTCAGCATGACACACAGAATATTGCTTCTATGCATGAGGAGGATTAGGGGTTGAGAGGAAAAAATGATGATGGATGCTCTTCAAATTCATGGGAAGATGCAACATTAACTAAATAACATCTACTGCAACATAAAATAAAAAGTAAAAATAAAAATCTGCATCTGTAAAAACAGCTAAATATTACATTTTAGTTTGCACTAAGTTTTAAATATTTATTCAGTGTACACTTCGTTTACTTTTTTGATGAGCTCAAGTGCTGCCCATTGTTCCCTGCTGCTGGAAACACAGCTGCAAGCCCCTTTTACATTGCTTGTTCAAAGCAGGAATGTGATGTTATTCCGCCTCGCCGTTATGTATAAAAACACAAGGGCAGAATGGGAAAACAGAGTTGTCTCGCCTTAAAGCCAGCAGCAGAGATGTTAACAGTAAAAGGTCAACTTCTACGTAAAAGGGACAGCCAGCAGGACGATAAAGGTGTGACGTTTTGACGTGTTATATGTGCAACCTACCGCCGAGAGATTTAAAAACCAGTTAGCAGCTAGTTCAAAGAAGAACAGCAGCCGAAACTGTCCACAAACTGGGAAGACACTGAGGTCCAGGAGCTCCCTACCCTTCAAGCACAGGACGAGATCAACCGCCATATAACACGGACAGTAAATGATTATCATTGCCATGTTATTAATTGGCTGGCACTGCCTGACACGTATGTTATGTCACACTAGAGGCAGACACTGTTGTGTTACTCGTCTCGCTTCTTTTGCTTCTGGAACGCCGGCATGCTATCTAAAAATCACACACTGGGGCAGCATTATGCCTGTCGTTTGGTTCTGTATTAAAAAAAGCAAAGGCGGTGTAATGAAGGGTCATTGCAGCCCTGTTGTGAGATCTGTGTAAAAAGAGCTTCCAGGTAGTGGTTCTTCCAGTTCTTTAAGTGATCAAGAATATAACCATCAGTGCTGAACCTCAACAATCTGTACCACAGTCCTCGAAAACGCCGAAGGGTCCATTTCTTCCCCACACAGCGAGGGTGCAGGGGTTGACGGCTGTAAGACAGTGTGTAGACGTGACTCGTAGCTGGTGTCGTGCATCCAGGTGCACGGCATGTGAAGGAGCTCCTTGTCGAGCTCACAGTTCTGCTCAGTTGGCGACAGGGGAGCAGCAGAGGTAGATCCAAGTCGTGACAGCAGGCCACAGTCCCAATCAGAGTCTGATGATGATGAAGAGAGTGCGGCTAAGTCTGGGATGAGGGCTGGCTCGATGCACACTGAAGTGCAGTGGGACAGTGAACGCTGAGAGTCTAGACTGGAAAACGCACTGTGAGGTTTATCACTGGGACACTGAAATGAAGGATCACATGTCTTTGCTTCTGAGGAGAGTTGCCATGATGGCTGATAGGCAACAGAAGTACCACCATGACCTAAAATGTCCATTTGATTTGGTGCCCGGGTGAAATTCTGTACTGTAGGAACAGAAAACAAAGTAAAAGTCTGTTTTGAGCCATGTGAGTCCACAGTGCATGTTGAGGAGACCTCTGGGTTTGGACAGGACTGTATTATCTGACAAGGGTCCTTATCAAATAATGAACAGCCCTCAGGTTTAATAATGTCACTTTCTGGTTTGGCAGATGTATGCTCTTGTTCAGTCCAGCTACCACTGTAGCCAAATTTCGCTGTAATCCTCCTCCTTTTGCTCCGGCTGTGTTCGGGGCTGGCTGATCTACAGCGCTTTCTGGGGTTTGGTGCTGTCGCTGAGTGCCGAGGGAGGGAACGAGATCTACGTGACAGCGCAGCACACCGCAAACCACTGGTGAGAAATATGATCTCATTGAATCCTGAAAGACTTCCTCTGTTTGATCCCTTTACTGTTTCTTCATTTGTCAAAACCATAGAGGGAAAATGTGGGGTGGATATAGCAGCCACACTTTCTGCAGTGTCCATGTCACAACTGTGTCCTTCCACAGCCTCGTCTGCGGTGTACCGTTGAGGACTGAGGACAGGAGGGTCTGAGTACAGGCAGTGTGGCTCCATAACGTAGGAGGGATAAGGGACTTGTGGGCTGAGGACTGGGGGATGGGAGTAGGGGTCTGGGGATGGGGTGTCAGGGCAGGGGGAGAGATGCTGAGTATCATGCTGCTGGTTTGCCGAGTCATGGGTTTGTGATTCAGCAATCAAAACAGGCATGACTGGACTTAAACCATGAGGACAGCTGTCAGGGAGCTGGCAATCTTTGTTAGGAGTCAAAGGCTGGATGTCAGCAGGTGGCGTGGCTGGTGGATTTGGGATGGGGACCTCAACTCCTTGTGATGGGCTGGCTAGGCCAGAGGAGAGACGACCCCTGGTAGGGCTGGAAATGTGAATATTGAATGATGAACCTTGTCTCTGCAGGGCCTGGACAGCATGCTCCGTCTCAGCATCAGTGAGAGGCTCCAGTTCACAGACGGGCAAAGGAGTTGATGGTCTAGAAGGACAACACAGAAAATACTAAATAACAATTTAAACACAAAACTTATTGTAGTCCAGTGAAAAAGAAAACTACAGGAACTTCACAACATTAGAAAACTTCTAGGGGTAGGGACCATTCACATATGAACCAATACCATTACCACTGCAGGCACTTTAAATTCAGTACCAGTACCCAACAGTACCTTTTTTTGGTACTTTACTCCTTCTGTAGGCTGAAAGCAATCGTCAACAAGCAATAGCACACACATACATCTCTGTCTGCTTGTATGTGTCTACTCATCCCTCTTGCTCTCTGTTTAGACACAACTAACAAATATGTGAAATAAGTACATGATTTAAAAAAACACAATCATAAACAGCAGTGGTACTAGGCTACATCTAGGTCAAAACTGAAAAGAAAACAGATCAGAGGAACAGAAACTATCACTGAGAAGCTGACACAGCTCTGTGTTCAGCTTCCCAGCTTCGGGGCACTCCACTACTCTTCTGCTCGGTTGTCTCCACCAAAAAACGCAAATACCCAATACCCAACTCAAGGCGAATTTGTGTTTCCTAGGACAGCAAAGGCATGACCCGCCGTACTCTCACTCTCATTGGCTATTACTCATTGCCTCTGATAGCTGCTTAGATTTAGGCAAGAGGATTGAGACTGGTTAGGGTTAGAGCAAGAAAGTTAGAAAACCAATCTGAGGCAGAATAAGGCAGAGTAGGGTGGGTCATGCTTTCGCTATACTAGAAGATGCAAATTCGTCAACCCTAGACATTACTAGGTGATCATAAAAACTCACCGGTTCAGTGTTTCCTCTGATTGTTCAGCTGGATTGGGGTTAAATCCCGGAAGCATTTCAGTCACGAGCTGGTCCACCACACTGTAGTTTGTGAGATCCAGCACAAACTCGCGGTGCTGATTAGACTGCAAGTGCTGCGAGGGCGAACAAAGACCACAAGTCACAGATGTGAATACAAGCCAAACAATGAAGGCAAAAAAAAAATCACACGTGGTAACTTAAGTTAAGAATTCCCACCTCCTCCAGATTAGTGAAGGGTTGTTGACAGCATTCACAGTAAGATAGGTCCTTTTTGCGTGGCCGCCAAGGTGAAGGGTTGCAGCTGAGCAGGGTTTGAGGTTTGTCCTGAGTGCTGCTTTTAACTTTTTTCTTCTCCCTACTTTACAAAGAATGAAACACAATGATGTTAAATCCTTCATAGCAGACTTTTGAACCCAAACCATTTGATGGCAAAGCGATGGTTTGAAAGTACCCTTCAAATAATGGCAGTTAAACAAACCTTGTTTTATTCTCTCCTTGCTCTGCCTGCTTCTCAAACCGAGGTGGAGGACATTCAAAAGGGCTATATCGGCCCGAGTACCACAGATCGGGGAAGGTCATAGATTGCATATGCAAGGGCTTGTATCTCCTGGTTAGAAAACAAAACAACAGAATTTAATACAAAAATGTACATCAAAGCTTAAAAAATAGCATCAAAAAAGTGATACATGACAAAAAATAAAAGAAAAACAATGCAGTAACTCTTGACATGTGAATGTAGATTAGGGGTCAGGGGAAAAAAATCGATCACCTACAACAATTTTGTTAGATTGGACTGTATATTTTTTAATGGATGGACATAATGAACGTACCCATGTACATTGTGTTTACATTCTTAGCTAAGCTCATCGATCAATCATAATTGGATGGATCATTTACAATGACAATGATCAGCCAGCTAGAGCCCGTCTATTGGGTGTCACAGCGTGGGTTTTCTCCGGGTACTCCAGCTTCCTCCCACAGTCCAAAGACATGCAGGTTAATTGGTGACTCTAAATTGCCCGTAGGTGTGAATGTGAGTGTGAATGGTTGTCTGTCTCTATGTGTCAGCCCTGTGATAGTCTGGTGACCTGTCCAGGGTGTACCCTGCCTCTTACCCAATGTGTGCTTGAATAGGCTCAAGCCCCCCCACAATTCTGGATAGGATAAGTGCTTTGCAATTATATAAATGGATTGTTATAAATATGCTGTTTTGAAAGCAGCAAATAGTCAAACAGTGACAAATAAATCATGTACAGAAATCAAAAATCTTCATGCATCAAGATGGATCTATTATTGTTTTATTTATTGTAGACCTCTGATTCAAAATCAAATCGAATCATGAGGTGTCTGGAGATTCCCGGCCTCACAGCAGATTCAAAAAATATTGTGAGTATTATTATCAGAGTCAGATATACTTGACTAGAGGGCATAGAGGATCAGATGAGAACTATGACAATAACGTGTGTAAAAATACACATACTTAACAGAATGGATAGGGATAAGAATAAGAAATAAGTGCATCATCATATGTTAAATATAGATTCAAGAGTATTGTAAGAATAAATTAGGATACTGAAAAGAATAGTGCATAGCTGAATAACTGCACAGACAATTGCAGCTTTTAAATGACAGTGTCGCACAGCATTACTGTACCGTTAGTCACTACTGCACAGTTAAATATATAATAAATAGCTTATTGAATTATAACTGCTGATGGGTGACTAAAGTCCAAGGGCCAGTCTACTGACTCAGAGTGTCTGACACCTCGTCATCATTATCACATTTACAAATTGAAAATATATTAACACATTCTGCAGAACTGTCTACCTATCTGAGATCAACCCTAGCTAGGCTAATATTCAAATGCTTCAGATGTCATGGGTTCAATTTCTCACAACAATGGCCTACACGCATTAGCCGGAGCACTTCAATTAACTGAAATGAGAGGACAAATGAAAAGACCTGTTAGCACGTAGAGATCCCCTGCAGAAACAGGCAGTGGAGCTTGCAAAGCCTCATCGAATAGAAATCGTATCCGCTTGAGCTCTGGGCTCCTGGGGAGCGGCATCGCTGGGGGGCCTTGTCACATTACACGACGGGACTCCTCAACAGTTCAATTAAGAAAATCATCTGGGCTGAAATGCAAACCTCTACAACCAGCGCCCAGTGGGGTAAGAAGGGCAGAAACACTGGGACAGGGTCACTGCCACTCATTGTTGTATCGCTGTCATTATGCTTGAAATGCAAAAAAGGGTCTAATCTGATACTAAACATCCACCACGTGAACCTGGGCAGGTCTAGAAAGTAATTTCCCTCTGCCTTGCTGCATTCCAGCTCATCTTTCTTGATTAACTGGAATCAAACACAGGATCAACGCAGCTATAATTGACATTTTATACTAACCATGTATCAAATGCCCATGGTAACAGAACTGATGAACCTACAGCACATTATCACCTTAATTTGCAGCTTCCCTCAGCTTTACTGAGCTTTTTTACAGAGTCTGGCCCGCAACTTTATGTTATCACTTCTCTCGTGTTGTTTTCAGCTGCACAAACCTCACCATCTTTTTGCAATACTCCTGACATTAACAAGTACTCAGGATTTTATTTCAAGATCAGTCAAGACAACTACTGCGGGGACATCACTAAATTGTCTGTGCAAAAAAGGAGTGTTACGTAAAGAAGGTGAAGTTAATTTCAAACAGGCAATTTAGTGATGTCCCTGCAGTAGCTGTCTTGACCGATCTTGAAATAAAATCCTGAGTCCATGTTGTCAGAGACCAAACAAGACCAATTAACAATAAGCAACCTTCAGAAGTCATCTTGGGATTGATCGAGTACTACAACACTACACTGCACACTACCTGCTCAGCACCAAACAGCAGACAGACACAGTTAGGGACTAGCTGGTGTACACAGTGAAGCATTTAACAGTATAGCTAAAGTGACTGACATCTCCTCAGCTCCTAAAGGGAAGTGTCAAAGGGGGCAGGACAGATGACTGCTCTTTAAAGTGTTACTCTTGGATTTAAATCCTCCCTGCTGCCAGAGAAAACTCACACAAAAAACTGAATAAGGGAGAAACTCACCTGCTCAAGTCTTCAATTTTGAGATAGGGAGACCTCAAAGCTACAGCTGTGTGAAAAGGGAACAGGCAAACCATTAAATAAGTTGTTATACCCACAGAAATACAGTATTATTGGTACATTAACACATCAGTACAACATACATGTATATAAACTGACCTTTGACAACATGAGAAGCTTGTTGTTTGGTGTAAGTCTTCTGCAAGAACAAAGAAAGTATAAGATAAGACTTATCAATATTAAAGAACATATTAAAGAACAAAGGCAGATGTTCATTCTATTACAGCAATATGAGCTTATTTAATTGTAGCCCTGTACTTTTAGAATTTTCCTAAATAATTTACTTGCTTGCTTTTTATGTAAAGTGGTTTTATTTGGATATCTGGTGGAGTCATTCAGACCAAATATCTTACCTCTGGCCTCTTCTGTGTCGTGCTGAAGCTCTCTCGAGTCAGCTGTTTCAAATATAAAATGACATCTGATATGGCATTAAGGAACAATACAAGATGTTTCCAGTTCTGTGAATTAGAATGTGATATTTATATGCCGGTTCACAGCAGACATCTTCAGCTGGTGTCAGTAAGACAAAGTAGCACAGAGCAAAAAGCACTCTTGTGGTGCCATCTGCTGTGAGCAGAGGTTCACTGCACTATAGACATGAACACACATTTGTCAAAAGGATACCAGCTACATACAAAATCTTCACTCCCCATGATTGGGCATTGGCCAAAACACTGCTCCCCTGCAGTCGTTCCTACAACACAGAGACACCAGATTTAAAAAATAAAAGTTGGTCTTCAGCATATCACCAATATTCACAAAAGAGAAGCCATATTTTGGCTGCACTGACACTCACATTGTTGCGAATGGCTTTTTCAAGCAGGGCCTTCCCGCGGCTGCCACAAGCCTGTAGAGAAAAATACAGCACAGATATACATTAATTCTAGCTTATACTTCATAGTAACATCCACTGGAATATTGTCCAAATGAGTTTGTGATGAAAACAAGATCAATAAAAATTCATGAAGTTAAAAAAAAGTATTTGTTTTGTACTGTTGTGTAGTATTCACGATTTCTTAAATAATGTAAAACAATTCACTCTATTCACAACAACACATTTATATTAATCAGGGTACCAACTAGTATCTCTGTATGAATTTTTAGAAATTCTTTAACAAGAAATCCATACATTAAATCACACACAAATATGTACATTTTTATATTGATGTATTATCTCACGTACACTGAAACCGGAGTTCCTGCTCATTTATATAATATCAAATTACATCCATTTGGAAAAAAATACAGACCACATAGGGCTACATGCCCATAAACGTCTCAAACACAGAAAAAAACAGAGAGGAGAGGGCAGAGTCTCAGCAGAAAAATACACCACCTCACACTTCTAGTGGGTCATAAGTGATGATTGTGAGGGGTTGAACTTATATGAGTCTATTAATTGTTATTTAGGGAAAACCTGTGTAGTGCATCTTTAATAACGTACAGCAACATTGCATGCAATAATCCACCTCCCACCTTATCTTCCCTTCTCTCTGTCACTCTTTCTAAAACACACACACACACACCCCCCAGCGCTCAGTCTCAATTTAGATTTTTTTCTGGGAATGTTGCCATAGAGCTCAGCTCATAACACTGCAAATGCAAGGGCTTTCGTCAGTAGGTCATAGGCTCAGTCACCACTGTGTTCCCTCATTCAGCAAAAGATGATAACTTAACAGATATTTAGTCAAATGAAAATCTTTGAAATTATTACTGTAAACGGTGAAAGGTTTTCAAACATGCATGTGTGATGCTCAGTACCACTGGTCTAGGAGTTCCTGGTCGCGGTTTGTCACTGCTGAGGACGCTCTCTCGCTGCTGCGCTTTAGGATGTTGGGCTTCTTCACTTGTCCCCTTTGCCCCTGTTTTGGTATCCGTACTCTTCTGCTCCTTCATGCCCTCCTGGCTTCCAGTCACAACAAAGCTCACATCCTTGTGCAGGAAACTCTCAACCCTCTTCAAAATAAGAGAGACACGTGTCATAGTCAGACTTTGAATCGTCTGATAACTTAAGGAAACAACAACAAAGCAGTGTTGTAGTGCATTATTCTAGCACACAATAAAACAGTACTACAAGGCACACAACTGTCACATTTAATGCTTCATTAACATTTTTGTAAAAATGTGGTGTGCCTTTCTTTTGCCGCTTTGCACTTTCTTCAAGACTGAGACAAACTACAGCCAAACCAGATGCTTTTCCTGCAACGGATCAGGTAAAAATGCTTGACTTTTCTCTGACTTTAAAGGCAGACAAATTGATGCAAGTGCACGTTGCAGCCAATTTCTTGTATAATAACTTGTATCCAAAATGTCACTGCCTAGATCAAACCTTGATAACAATTCTTGTATATATACAACAACAGCCAATGTTCACAGCAGAGAATATACAGACACACATGCTTACCCCTCCTAGAAGGGCTACAGCCTCCAGCAGCAGGGCTGTTGTGCGTTTCTTCACACAGTCCAGGTAAAAAATCTTCCCCTCCAGCTTCTTCTGCCCAGGACACAGTGGGCCCAGAAGGCCTTGCTCCTCTGCATACTGCTGACGCTTCATGATCCTGGTGCAGTAAAGGAGCGTACAACTTTACAGAAATACACCAGGATCCTATTTAAAAGTGAGAACACAGCACAGATTAATTAAAAGTTGTGTCTGTATACACATGTGACAAAGAGCTAATAAAAAACAAGAACTCCTAACAAGACCCAGATATTTCACGTATAAACGCCCTGTATACTAATAATGTGAACTTTTTTTTTGCAATGTTGTGTCCAAAATTATTTGGGTAATTTAACACAAGGTCTCCGAGGTTCCGGTGAAACAGCGGTGTATCAGTCCACAATCAGGTACGACAACATGTCAAACAACATCGTGTGGTTTCTTTTCTTTTCTTTTCAGATTGACTTAGATTGTATAATGACTAGTTTGCTCAAAACAAAGTTGCAGTTGTTTTACAACTTGCCACCGTAAAGCTCTATTGAATAAAATCATGTAGCGTTAGTTTACTACTAAACTACAACAATGTAGTGGAAGCATTTATAACCTAGCCACCTCCATAGCTAGTTAGCAAGGTTAGCTGTACTGAGTTAGCCTTAGCTAGCTTAGCTTTTCTCGATATAGACAACGCCTGGGTCACCAAAAAAACGTTCCTTTATTTTATAATGAGCTTTCTGTTTCTGTTTAACAGTTTCACACATCGTCGGGGCAAAAAGAAAGAAATATAGCCCACTTACGTTTGTAAAAGTGTTGGATAATTGCGATAAAAGACTTAACGCTGTTGATTCTCCAAAAGGTGCTCGAGGAGCAACCGCCGCTTTTTTAAAAACACTGGCGGAGAAGCGAACATAACGCCAACGTCACATCCGGAAAACGCTGCGTTCAGTGCTGGTTTCAGACTCCCGAATTATAGAGCAGACATATTTCCAGCGATGAATCTGTAATTAACTAACTATTTAAGTTAATCAAGTAACCCTTGTGTGATTAATAACAAAATTGAAATTCCGTCTGATTATCAGACCCCACAGTACAAGTCATTCTTTAGAGCATCGCTGTACATTTTTTTCCCAAAGTCACTAATAGTCGTGAGTTTTACTTAAGGTTCTAACGGTACCCTAAACGCAGCACAAAGGATATTGTGCCTATTAGTTACATTTAAAGGTTACTTCATGAGTGTTATTTCCTGTTTTCTGGAATCCTTTCTAAAATAAAAATGTGGCATATTTCTAGGAAAGTGTGCTCGTGCTTTCGCAGCTTAAAAAGGGAAAGGAGACTAAACAAAGTACGAAGAGGAAGTGTCAACCAAAATTGCTAATTTGTGAACACAAGAGTTGGAAATGGTGCAAAATATTCAGACTGATTGAAATTTGTTATATTTAAATTAAGTGCTTTCCATCAATTTCTGTTCACCTCCTCTGCTGGTTACATCCAGTTGTATACCATATCATGTTATATCCCTGCCCAGCAGGGGGCAGTGTGTCTATATAATAGACACACAGTAATCTAATTTAAGAAACTACTTTGGCAATTTGAATTATTTATAGAGTAAACTGTGGCCCATATATGTTTACATGGATTAAATATTTTCATTATTAGTTGAAGATTCAACATCCCATGCATAAACGTATACATGACAAAGACAAAGACCACAAGACAAATACCAATTCTTTATTCAAAACATGCACTTTTTGTTCATAAAATAATTTTCACAAAAAACACTGGCACAGTGTAAAGGACTAGCCTTATAATGACATTTCAATTTGAAAATCTGAAAATAAAAGTATGTATTACTGACAATGAATTCTTTATACTAGGCCTGGGGGAAAACAACACAACAGGCTGAATGCACTGGCTTTGTTTTGTCATGTAAATAACACAAACTAATGGACTAATAGTGCAGAAAATCTTGATAGCATAAACTTCAAAGAAAATAATGTTTAAATTGTAACAGCTAGAGAATAAGACACTGACAACAGTTTGAAAAACAGGGTAGGGTCTTGAACTTGGCCAAACACTTGTACTGACAGACACATTTTAAAATCTGTCAAAACATTAGCAAACTTTTTTCTCCCCCAAAAATACAGAGACACTGTGAAATCACAGACTGAAAACACACCCTCATTTATCTGTATGGCTGGATAAAACAACCAATCCACATCAGACCTGGTTTGATGAAAACAATACAAATTTGCATACTTAAACAACACTATCGTTCAAAGCTTAACCCCTGGTTTGTAATGAAACTAGTCACACAGACAGCAGGACTTAGCTTCTGTTTCAGTCCATAGTGACGAGGACATTATATTAAGTGATGCAGAGTCGACAGGACGCAGCACTTTGACTGTTAAAGTAAGGCACCTTAGGTTACAGCGTGGAGGCCTGACATCAAAAGCTCCAACAGCCAATTAACAAAGCCATTTGATACTTTTACTCCACTGTAATTTAATGTTTGACAAATAATTAAGAAATGATTATTGTTGTAGTATAAAGTGGCAACTAACATTTATCCAGCTCTGTCACAGACGTGAACGGCAACATCATTTCCCATCTCCTTGACATTATCTTCAGTGGTTTTTCACTTACATGTTTGCAGCAGAATGTATCTTGTACTGTTGAGTCTGAACCTGAAAACTGAAAATATGCTCTAATCATTATACTGACTCTGTAAAGTTAAACATTAGTCTAAAGAATGAGCTCATCATAACAAGGGCATGAGCATTTTTCAGTATTTCCCTGATGCTATTCATGCCAAATGTTTTATACTATCTATTAGGGATGCACCAGTTGTGAAATTCTGGACTGATACTGATGAAGATGTTTAGAAAAACAATTTGGCTGATAGACAGTGCCGTTGCCAATGTTTTTGTTGTTGTTGAGGATATGGAAACAAAGAAATTATCATCATAAAAAAATAACTGAACTGTTTCATAGTCCTTCAATACCCTATCTTTGAACGAGCACAAACTCAATCATACACATCTATGAAACAACCTTTAATCTAACCTTTCATATAAGAAACACTTTTTAAAATACTGCTTCAAAAGCCTTTTACGAAATATAATTCCCTCTCGAATATCTTTGATATTTTGCTGTAAGGACATCAACAAATTTCTCCTTCTGTATTTATTCAAGTTTCTCGCCCAAAAATATATTTTATAAAACTACGTATAAACTCACCATGATGACGTTTACTCATTTTGACAGAACAGACTATGAACGCATCATAATGTAACTCAAAGCAGCCTCCGAAAGCTGTTAGTTCAGACTACCTGCTGCTAACAGCTAACATTAACTAGCTCTCCTCCTGCCGATGTCGCAACAAATTTGTTGCTTATCAGGGAAACAATAAGGTGCATCCCCTGACACATCAATATGAGTTTATTGTGTCCTTTAGTCCCAAAGGCATCTCTGAATAACAGGACACTGTTGGTCTCGAGCTCTGTTGTTTAGCCTGTGCAAAATTAATGTGACAAAACTGAAAATCACTGAGCACTTACACCTGTGAATGCATCTTATTTGTCAATAAGCTGCTGGCGTTCAACGAGGCGAATATCGACTGACACTGATGTTCAGCTGATTAATCGGTGCATCCCTATTATACATAGATATATCCCCTACTTATTAATTTGTCCTCATAGAACAGAGCTATCAGTGGACTGGTACAAGACAGATTCTGATACTAATAATCACTTTTACACTTCACCTCACTATTGTAATGGTGTGAATACTATTGAAAAGAATGTAAACTGCTTGCTGTGTCTTTTGTTTATACGCAGTACGTGGACACACAAATGTAAATACTGTCGGTTTTGCATTGTTTAAGAATAACAAAAACACAAGTCTCAGTCTGTATTTCAGATCCACTCAGAACCTTTTATGACTCCATATTTGCTGCTACTACTGGTGCTGCTGCCTCTGTCTGCCTCCGTCTTGCTCGAGGTGTGTTTGGAGGCCTGCCGGTGTTTACGTTCGCGGTGAGGCTTGCTGTGGTTGTTACTGTGGCTCTGTGGCTGGCTGTAGGCTGGGTTGTCTGCCTCCAGCTTGTCCTGAGGCTGACGGATGTCCTTGTGAACACCTCTGGAGGCATCTCCCATCCCTGCTCTGCAGTGGTTTTCATCATTACTGGTGTACTGCTGACGCTCCTCTTGTGCAATGTTCACGTGGTTCTGCCGGCATGCCATCTTGGCATTAGTGAGATCGGTGATGGGTAGTGGCTGGTCGTGGTGTCCTGTAGATACCAGGAGAGGCTTGATGGCGATGTTGTACCCAGGTGGAGCTGATGGTGCGCTCCAAGAAAAAGGGTAGCTGCTGTAATCCTCTCCGTTCAATCCCCCCTCATTAAGAGCTCCTTGTGCCCGTGTGAGCCCATACAGCTCCTCATCAGGGAGCTGCACTCGGCGGGAGCGGACGATCTCACAGATGGTGCCTATGCCCAGGTGGAGCATCTCCCATATATTGAGAGCCAGACAGAGCACGGAGACTGTGTACATGATGAGGAGGAAGATCGTTTTCTCTGTGGGCCGTGACACAAAGCAGTCCACACTGTGAGGGCAGGGCAGGTCTGAGCACACGTAGGTGGCAGGCACAGCAAATCCATACAGGGCATACTGTCCACATAAGAACGCCACCTCCAGCACAGAGCGGATCAAGAGCTGAAAGACGTAAATACGCATCAGTCCATCCTCTTTGATACGCTGGCGCCCATCATGACGCACTTTGCCCTTTGCTTTTTCATCACCACTGCTTCCTTTCGCTGCTCCACCACCATCACTCTCTACCTCGGCCATCTCATAGATCATTGGGTCTTCCTCTTGGTCGTCCTCAGCCTCTTCAATGCCCCTGTGCTGCTTTCTGCCTGCAAGATAGGGCTTCTTGGGTTTCCTCCGCGAAAATCCACTCACTCCCCCGCCCTCTGCCTGCTCCTCTGCCCGAGCTATTTTGTTGACAGCATACCCCAGGTACATGAGCGAAGGTGTGGCCACCAGAATGATCTGGAAAACCCAGAAGCGGACGTGCGAGAGTGGAGCGAAGGCATCGTAGCAGACGTTCTCACAGCCTGGCTGGCCTGAGTTGCAGACAAACTTGCTCTGCTCATCGTAGTAGATGGACTCCCCTCCGACGGCTGTCAGCACGATGCGGAAAACGATGAGGACGGTGAGCCAGATCTTGCCCACGAACGTAGAATGGTTGTGGATTTCTTCCAGCAGGCGAGTCAAGAAACTCCAACTCATGGTAGTGGCAGGGAAAAGACAGTGAGAGGCAACATTCACCTCCTGTTACTCCCCTGTGGAGAGAAAAGAAATGATTAACCTCAGTACCATGTAGACAACACAACAACTGAAGTATCTACATTATTACTAACAATTCATTTAGACCTAAATATTTTTTCTGTTAAAAGACAAACAAGATATCTGCCAAGACAGCTTCCTGCACTCCTACTGTCTTAAAGGACAGTTCACCCCAGAATCAAAAATACGTATTTTCCTCTCACCTGTAGTGCCATCTTGTTACATAATATTTGACAAGAGCCAGATATCTCTACAGCCGATATCTCCAACACTCTGCAACTAACACCAAAACAATCTAGATTGATAAATCTTATCATAGGTAAGAGGTAAGAGGAAAAATGTTTCTGATTTTGGGGTGAACTGTCCCTTTAACTATGTCTCATGTGAAGAGAGAAACAAAAGATTATTTATTAACTTGTCTTTTTGTGTGTGTGTGTGTCTCAATTTGTCTCTCTTTCCCCGGCACACAGGATAAATAGACAAGTTTTAATTCTACAAATAGCAACACCGCATACTTCACAAAGTATTTTAGCTGCAAACACTT